CATATATCTAAAATTTGAGGTAAGAGTTTTAAAATGCACATGTTAATAATTGAGAGTTTTTTCACATTAAAAATATATTATTGGTTCATTAACTTGACATTATAAAATCAATTATATGTCTATTCTTACTTTTCATTTTCCAAAAAAAAAAAAAAAATTATGCTTTCTTTCCCAAAGATATACGTTGGCTTTTTTTTCTTCTTTTGGAAAAGCAAAGGAAAGATAAAGTGAGATAAAGCTTTTATTTCTTTCAGGTGAATTTATATAACTCAGCCAATTTTATTTCTTCGAAAGATAATGGACGTTTTTTAAATTATTAGCCAGTAAAGTAGAACACAATTTGCATAAAATTGTAACAGAACCCCATACCTGGAACTGCAGAATATATAAAACTGTTGTGGGTATGTTTTAGATTTAGTTGATATGGTTTCTGGCTTCTGCTGACATATTTGTCTAATGATCGGCCCAAGCATAGCCCAACATTTTCGGGCTGGTCAGTCCGATTACGGTCATAAAATGGAGCTATTAGGCGCTTTAGTTTTTTTTTTTGGGTGAAATTTAGGCGCTTTAGTTTTATTGAGCTAAGATATTCATGAATATTCATGAATGAATTTTAAATTGATTATATGTTTACGTAATAATCCTCATACAAAACTGTATTATGAATATTGTCATTTTCACGTCAATATATTGCATGTCTCTTTTCCTAAAAAAAATCTAAAGTTAAAACTCTAACTACTGTTTTTCAACAACAACATTTTTTTTTTTTTGCTAAATATCAACAACATTTCTTCTACTGGATTTAAACACAAACAAAAATCTTAATTCTTAATGAACCGTTATTAACCTTTGTTATTAAAAGGAAAATAAAACCATTGCCGTATCGAGTTCTAATTGCTAATTTGCGGTATAGTTCGTATTTGAAATTTATCCCTACGCCATTTTTTACTGGTGACACCAAAATAACTTTTTTTTTATAAACCGTCAGATTTTCGAACATTCGGATTATAATTTTTTCGGTACCTGAGAAAAGTATTTGGATATTCCGATTTAAAAAATAACTCTCACTACCAAAGAGAGTTTGAACCAAACATTTTGTGTTACCACTAGGCCACCACCAAATAACATTTTTTGTTGTGTTCTTTTG